AAAAAAAGGAAGAATACCAATTTTTTTATTTTTAATTATATATAAAAAAGGGCAAATATATTTAAAATTTTTTGACCACACTAGTTAGATTAACGATGAGGTAAAATGCTTAGAAAATGATGTTAGGAACTAAAGTGATTGTATCCTATAATCTAAATGAATAAAGTGATAATAATAATGTAGCAATGCTATACAATAAAAGGGTATTTTTGTCCAAAATTTCTTAACATATTGAGTTAAATTACTTATGGGGGTAAAGTGATTAAAAGATAATGTTAAGGGATAAACTGATGGTAGTGATATAGTTTAAGGGGATAAAGTGATAATAACCCTTTAAAAAATTACTTGTATTTATGTTATGCCGTGAATTCAAGCTACAAAGCGATCGAAAAACTTAGGTTATGATCAAATTTTGTTAATTTGAATTTATAAGGCACGAAAAGTTAACATTTTAAAAGTGAACGATGATAAAATTCATTTGGCAAAATAGAAAACTTAAAAGACATTTGGAATGATTTTTTCTTAAAAATTAAAAAAAAAGAAAAAAGAATAAAAGAAGCAACGTGTGGGGCTAGGACCAGCCAGTCAGCACTGAGCACTCACGCTGAGTTGTACTGCGTGACTATCTGTACTAGAGAGGTCCCACCGCGGGAGCATTTAAGTACTACGGAACATTAACTAATTGATGACAGGCCAAGAAAATTAAAAATAAAAATATGATGGGCCCCACAAATTTTTTCGGAAACTTTCGCCCCTTATAAAACCAAGGGATAGTTTCAAAAACCTCCCCTAAAGTTTTTAATAACAAACCAATTTAACCTTTTAATGAGCATTTATTAAAGTTTTTAATAAAGGGTCTTTTTCTTGTGATCTCTTAATTGAAATAACAAACCAATTTAACCTTTTAAGTTGTTAATTGGTTGAAAGACCATTTAATAGATATCCTTATGGACAAGAAATACTAAAAAATTTTATACACAATTGTAAAAATAAGACACATTTTACAAATAGAAGAAAACTGTTATATCTTGAAAACACATAAAATTAGTTGCTAGATTACAATTTAAAGCATTTTGCCATTTTATCATTTTCAAGAAAAATTAAAAGACTCATACAATTCTAAACAATTTATGAAACTCATCGAGAAACACTTTATAATAAGGAAAAATAAAATTTGTGATGCTTAAAGCAGATCAAAAAATTTATTTTTCAAGATTCAGAGGGCATTAAATGATACTCACAGAAATCTCAGGAGAGATTTCAGAAATTTATCCCTCTTAACCAAACTCATTTCACTAAACTCTATGGTTTCAGCAGCCCACCATCCCTCCCAATTCCCCATAACCAAACTCAGGTCACCAAACTCTGTCGTTTCACCGTCCACCATCTCCTGGTGGGCCTCCTCTTAGGCCGATTCCACTTCCTGCTTTCTTATATCAGGCAAATTTCCAGAGAGCCATAGCTCTTCTTCACCCTGCTGGTTTTACGCTTCTGGCCTTCCTTGTCTATCTCTCTTTCTCTCTCACACACAACACACATTTGCTTCTTCAGCAATTGCCTATATATTTTCTTGTCACGCAAAATTTTGTGTCCCAATAGGCTGAAACTAGCACTAGCCGAAGAGCGCCTTCTTTGATTCAGGGAAAAGGAAAGTTCGTTCCTCCTGAAAGGCTGAAATCCCATCATTTTTGGAAATAATAAAACATTCCCTTTTCTCTGGCAGCATCCTTTTTCTGCAGGAATTTTAAATTTTGTCTCCTTTTTCAGCCTCACAAGTCAAGAAATAGTTAAAGCAAAAGCTTTTGCATGCACACTTGTAAATCATATTGCAAGTTGACAAAAAACTGAGAGAAACCTTTTTTTTTTTTAGCAATTGGAGATCTTAAAAAGGCATCAGAAGTGTAAAGAATAAAAGGGGTTCTTTTATTTTCAAAGGAGAATTCAGAGAAACGGCAAAGTTGCAATTTTCGGAAAGGAGAAATATTGAAATTGAATGGCGGGGAGAGGAGGGAAATGGGATGTTGTTTTTCGGCCGTTGTTGCCAATTGTATGCAATTTTTTGTTAGCTTCAATCCTTGTTTCGGCTGAAAGAAGCTTTAGGAATGAAGCTTCAGCTTCTGCCCAGAATTCTACAGGGAATCCAGCTTCAGCTAATTTTTCCAAGTTGTTGAACTTCTTGTGGCAGGCCGATAAATCAGGTTACCAGCATGTTTGGCCTGTAAGTTAAGGAATCATGAAAATTTTTCCCTTCCTCTTTGAAATTGTAGAAGATGCTTGTTTGAGTTGTATTCATTCTCTTCTCTTTTAATATGACTTTCTTTATTGAATTTGATGGGAAGATAATGGATCGTTGGGACTGTAGATCAAATGAATACCGTTTTGGAATTCATTTTTTAGCAGTACTAACTGTTATCATTGATCACTTGGCCTCGATGCAAATGATTTACTTGTTTCTCTTTGGATTGTGTAAAGAGGGAAGAAGAGTTTATGTGTTTGTTCAATGTAGTCTTTTGTCGATCAAACGTTGGTTAATTTGTTTTCGGTTGAAAACCAACTGATGCATTAAAGTTGTATGCTGTTGACTTTTGTGTTGGTTTTTCCCGTTTTAAAAACTGATTGGAAATGTCTGCTTCTGTAATTTCTGGCGTTTACAGGAAATCAAATTTGGATGGCAAATCGTTGTCGGTACCATAATTGGATTCTTTGGAGCAGCATTTGGCAGTGTAGGTGGTGTTGGTGGTGGCGGCATATTTGTACCTATGCTTTCACTTATTATAGGATTTGATCCGAAATCATCAACTGCTATTTCAAAATGTAAGCCACAAGTGTAAAGTTAAAATCTTTTCTGGATATATATCCACTGAATGAACAGAGTAAATGGATTTGGCTATTACTTGTTAGAGCAAGAAATTCTAGCTGTTAATTATTTTAGTCATTTTTTGCTATTGAATTATTAACGCATAGGCCCTTACCCAATAGAACTATCATGGAACCATTGAGGCTTCAAGTTTTAAGCATTTTATTAAGTGGAAAAGTGCCATGATATTGAGGTTAATTAGAGCTTCTTTCATGAGAGATGTTGACTTCTGCTTGTGGTAACTGAAGTAGGCTCACACTGTTGAGGATTTACCTCATAATATCTCCAGAGAGTTTTCAATGCAACATTCAAAGTCCACAGCATGTTCTAAATATTTACTTAGAAGCTCAAAAGAAATTGACAAAACAGATTCATAGAAACGTCTGCCGTCTAAATATTTTTCACATTGATCGATCAGCAGTGGAGCTGCAATTCCCCTTGCATGGTTAAAGATGTTATTATTTGTGATTCTGTTTTTCAGGTATGATCATGGGAGCTTCAATCTCAACTGTTTATTATAACCTAAAGCTCCGACATCCTACGATTGACATGCCCATTATCGATTACGATTTAGCAGTTCTCATTCAACCAATGCTTATGCTGGGAATCAGCATAGGAGTCGCTTTTAATGTGATTTTTGCCGATTGGATGGTTACTGTTCTACTAATCATTCTCTTCATCGGTGAGGGTTGACTCTTTTGCTGTCTGTTTGTTATGCATTTTGCTCTGTTAAGGAATTTGAATTCGTATTGCATTTTCAGGCACATCAACTAAGGCATTTCTCAGAGGTGTTGAAACATGGAAAAAGGAAACCATTATGAAAAAGGTTGTTCCAACTTCACACATTTTGGGGCTATAGGAATATTTTCATTTTCATTTTACTTTTTGTTTCCTCATGTGAACTCTATTGATTCTCCTATGCATCTGTTGTGTTGCTGTTCATAATTTTGCTCTGTCTAAAAGATGGTTTTGGTTGATGCCTAAAGTATCTTTATTTGCTTCTAACTGTCTATTATGATCTCATACCAGGAGGCTGCTAAGCGTCTAGAGACAAATGGTGGGTGGAATCTTTTTATTATTCCTTCAATTTCAAGTGGTTTTCTGCTCAATCGTTTCTCTGTCTCTCTCTCTCTCTCTCTCCTCTGTGTGTGTTTGTGTGTGTTTTTTTTTCTTTTTCTGTTTCCTTAGTAACTAATGCTAATTCTCCAGGCAATGGTCAAGAAGAGGCGGAATACAAACTTCTGCCTAGTGGCCCTAGCAATGATAAAGAAAAGGATGCAAAGCCTGTTGAACAGGAGGTGAGTATCTTTTCAAAAGCTGATGCTTTTTCACAGAATGTTCAATGCTGATATATTGCTTGATATAGGTCCCCATTCTGGAGAATGTATGTTGGAAGGAATTTGGTCTCCTTGTTTTTGTCTGGATTGCTTTTCTTGCATTGCAAATTATCAAGGTTCTTTCTTCATCTTTCTTTTATTTTCTATTTGTCCTTTATATTTACTAGAACTAATAGCTCCTTGTATAGATACCCCCCACCTCCCCACCCTCCCCTCCCCCCCAAAAAAAAAAGTTTTGTTGAACACTCTTTCTGGGCTGGCCGGGAGGGGGTGGGGGTGGCTGTTAGCAGTTTTTGTTGAACTTATTCAATATTGCTTCTTGTTTTGGACAGAACCATACAGATACTTGTTCGGCACTATATTGGGTGGTCAATTTGCTTCAGGTATTTTTACAAGCATTTTCTTGTTCTATTCTGAAACTCAGGACCAAGGCCATTATCATCCTCCAGTACTTGTGGACATGCTAGCTACTGACTGAGGATGGGATTTGATTGTCAACTGACATTTTAATTCGTTTATAGATACCAGTTTCCTTTGGAGTATCTTCATTTGAAGCATTTAGCTTATACAAGGGATGGAGAAAAATTGCATCAAAAGGAGATACTGGTACCAACTTTAAAGTGCACCAACTGATCACTTATTGTTTCTTTGGTGTATTGGCTGGTGTAGTTGGAGGGCTACTTGGTCTAGGTGGAGGATTTATTATGGGTCCACTATTTCTAGAGTTGGGTGTACCTCCTCAGGTGAATGATTGTTTTGTTTTATTGCTGTAAATGGATCAACTTTCATCTTTTCTTTTTTATTTCTTTCGAGCTATTTGATATACAGTGAAGAGACATGTGCATCATGACTGGGCAGTTGGCTCAGTATGTTCCTACTTCCATTTCTTCATGACTAATCTGATGGTGAGAGGAAAAAAGGAGCCTCTTCCCTAAACAAAAGCCTGTCAGTTGCAGTTATTGTCTTCAATGATTTCTTCATTTTCACTATAAGATACAGTATGAGTTTTCAACTCATCATCTTACATTAAGAGTGAATGAAATCTTGAGCATCTGACTATGATAATTGACTTCATAGTGTTTTGGACAAAGAATAGATCACGGATGTTAATGGTGTCCAGCTATAAATGGTTGCAATATTGAACTCTTGACTACTGCTCCAAACTCCTCGAAGAAGTAGTGATTCAAGAAGACCTAGGAAGAGTATTTCCTTAAATTTGGTTAAACCATACGATGGACAAAGTTAAACACTAAGAAGTGACTGAATAGTTCCATATTTCTATCTAATTAGTTGCTGTCTGCATTGTCCATTTTGGGTACCTGTTGTTCTGAATCAACGACTGAGTTAAAATCACAACTTGCTCAAGGCAGTTAAGATATGGTATACCAAGAGAAGCATGATTACCTGTTGGATTTTCCATCTTATGTTAAACAGGCCCTTTGAAGATTCTAGCCTCATGTTTTTGAACTCTGCTGCAGGTTTCAAGTGCAACGGCCACCTTTGCCATGATGTTCTCAGCATCGATGTCAGTTGTTGAATATTACCTTTTGAAACGTTTTCCAGTTCCTTATGGTGAGTATATTTTGTAGATCCTTATTACTACCTAAATCACGCTATGTAGTTACAGAGAAAGAAGTATTGCAATATCTTTTCCCCTACATTATGTGAACTTTAATGCTTGATCCTGTTGGATTTCCTTCACAGCGCTTTATTTTATTGCTGTTGCAACCGTTGCCGCTTTTATTGGTCAACATTTTGTGAGAAGGATAATCATCTTATTGGGAAGGGCATCCCTTATTATCTTCATTCTGGCCTTCACCATCTTTGTCAGTGCCATCTCACTAGGTAAGTCTTATCATTTGTCATTCTTGGTTTTGTTGATTATATTTTCTTGAGCACAATACCAACTTGTGCGAAGCTTTATACCACTTGAAGCTCGTATTTTTCTAAATTTGTTACGCAGTTGTCCATGTCTCAAGGGCTTCTTCCTTTTTGTGTAAAACAGGTGGTGTTGGCATTTCAAACATGATTGGAAAGATTGAACACCATGAATACATGGGCTTTGAGAACCTCTGCAAGTATACAAGTTAACATCTTGCTTACCGCAAAGCAAATCTGTTGATTGACGTTACACCATACCTACAGTCACAACAATTGGCATCAAATGTATTATTTCCTGACTTGTAGGATAAAGAGTATCATTGCTTCTTTTTGGTTTTGTAGTCAAAGAAAGTGTTTACAATTGCAGACTAAATATTTCAGTTCATTTTTCTCTGGAGAGAATTCTCAGAGCATAGAAGTTTAGCAATGAAAAGCTGTCTTCTTTGTACTTTCTTTATGGTTCAATAGGTGATCAAACTTCCCTCTCCTTTTGTTTCTAGTTGAATGGACTATGTGCCATTTAAACTTCTTTAGAATTATAAAATCTTTTCAGTGTTTTAATCTCCCCATTCTTGCCAAACTGTTGTAAAAAGTGCCCTCTCAGAAGCTTCCCACCAGATATGACTTGCCCTTGAGCCAATATTACACTGTTATCAAGGATAAATTGGATCTTAGATTGCATTTAAATCCGCTCATATCTGTAGTAAGCAGTTGACTAGTATCTGCTGAGCAATCTTGCCTCAGCTTCATGCTGCTGGACTCCATGGCTTCACAATCCTAAATTTGATCAAGTGCATTTCTTTTTTATCTCTGGTTGATGATTAAATGCATTTCTTTTGAACTGGAATAGGAAATTGAACTAAGTTGGTGATTAAATTTGGCCAATGATAAAATTCAGTCCAATTTTGACTACTTCCACTACTAGTAAATGGATGAGTAAATAAAAAAAGAAAGTCATGGAGATGAAAATCGGGATGAGTTTATCTCTGGCCTTGTATTATCTTCAACCTGAACTGCCCACTGATTGGCACAAGAAGTTGTACCAAACTAGGACTTTTCTAACACGATTTGATATACATACAGATCTAAAATCAGACCATCTCTTTCAACTTAGTAGTTAACCACTTTTGTACGCTAGTATTACTTTTTTTGCTTTTTGGGTAGGAAAATTTTATATCAAGTGACATTACGACTAAACGATAGAAACAAACTAAAAAATAACACATCTCCTTGATTTTAGCGGTTACCATAATTAGTGTTTCTGATTTAGTAATGTTGTCGTAATTTACAGTTAGTTTTTTATAGGTAGATTTTTTTTGGGTAAAATATTACTTTTCCCTCCAAGAAAAAAAAAAAAGAAGAAAAGTAATGTAATGAAAGAAAGTCAACACCTTTAGTTCTAATTGTCTAGTGCTCTACAAATCCTAAAAGAAATACGGAAGGAAACAGCAGAAAACAGGTTAAACTGGTTGATTAGATTCCAATTCTTGCTAAACCAAACCGTTTCTTGAATGGAGTTTGTTTGGACAACAAGAATTTGGAATAAAAATTTTAGATTTTGTTTTGCTTGCATTATACACACAATTCTCAATCACCTTTTTATCTCACATACATCACATCACAAAAAGTGTTACAGTAACTGGATCAAATAAATTCTTATCCAAACAAACTCAATTGAGAAGAACTCGACTCTTGCCCTTTTTTTTTTAAAGTTTGTTTCGTTTCTTTCCTTTTTTCAAGTTTGTATGCAATTTAGTACAGTTTATGTCATAGACTGTAATGAAAGCGTCATCTCATTTCAGATAACCATATGAGAAAGCTTATCAATGACTTGTACGGCATAACAGTGTGAAAATTGTAAAATACGTTGAAAGCCAAGCCAGGAGCCAAAGATTCCATTCCAATCATTTACTGAATCTAGCCGGGGTTTTGAGGATAATTGAGACAGAGACAAAAAAGGGTCAGATGCAGCTTTCTTGTGGAATGGTACAATGGTGGGGCGGATTCCACGTTAGGCCTGACCATAGTCTTCTTTGATGCGTTTGGTGGGGTAGTGGTTTAATTGAAAAGTGGTGCAAGTTATCAAATATGTGCCACACAATTGTTCATCTCCATCTTGCTCAAGTGAGTGGTGATGGTCACTGCATTAATTGTGCATTAATTGTGATTAATTGTGGGGTAAGAGACAAGATTCGACCTCCCATTAATATACGTCTATGTGAGGTTTATTTTAAATTCATACGAGACTCATTTGATTCAGTTCCCATTTAGTTCTTTCGATTTTGTTGAGTGATCTCCTAAAGTAGGCTACCCCCAGTAGATATAGGAGTAGGTTAGGTTGGATTAGATGTACCGTTACGTAAAAAAAAATAAAAAAAAAGAGTAGTGATGAGTAATTTGATGATCTATGCCTTCTTCTTCTATTTTAATTTTTTTTTTGGGATCGATAGGATAATTTCATGCAATAAATCTACACTAACAGTAGAAAATACATCAAGTCAAATAGGAGACAAATATATAAATATATATATATAAATTTGAAAATCAATAGATGCAAGAAATCTAAAAAATCAATACAAGTGATAATATTGATGTTTGAACTTATCTTCTATCTAGATGATGCGTCATTGTAGCCAAGAGATACTTTCTAACCATCAATTAAATTTGATTGAAAACTAGAGTTGAAAGTTCTAAGAGAAATTTCGACCGGATTGACAGTAATAAATGGCCGAAGTACCGTGTACCTCAAGTCTGCTCACGAGTCTCTTCCTCCTTTGTACCATGTGGAGGATGATTTCATTGTCTTCCAAGAGTCTATTGATGTCTGGAACATAAAATCGTTTACCCTACGACTCTTGGATTCCTTGAATTATTTCAAGACTTGCATTTTAACTCGAATTCGAAATTCTTTCCTGGACATCCTTCGGCATCATGTCCATAATTTTCCATCAGATCGCTACTGTTTCCAAGCTTCTGAAATGTCATATTCCAGTCCAGTCTGGCTTGAAAATCCCATTTAACCAAATCAGCTACTATTCTTTTCTGACCTTATTAATTACTTTTGGGTTAAAAACAAAAAAGCTCCATGTGGTATATCTAATACACAAAAAAGCCTCCCGTGATTTCGAAACATACAAAACGACACCTCATATTTTAAACTAAATTGTAAACTAACAGAATTCGTTAAAGTCAAAGAAAATGACAGTCTCGGCTATTAAACTTACTGGATTATGTTAAATTTACCGGATTCCGTTAAGTTTTCCGTTAAGTTTATAAAATTTCGTTAATTTTAACGAATTTTGTTTGTTTACAATTTAATTCAAAACATGAGATGTCATTTTATATGTTTGAAACCACGAGGGACTTTTTTGTGTATTAGATATACTACAGAGAGTTTTTTTGTTTTTAACCCATTACTCTTTGAGGATGATGAATTTGAACCAACTTAAACTACAAGTGCGGGCGCCCCAAATATTTAGGATCAAAACTGTAATTTTCTATAAAATCAATGAACTTAGCTTCTTGGCATGAGTGGCTTAAAAAAGAGAAATTGTGAAAATACACGTGCACCTTTAAGGGATTAAGATTAAAACCTATCAAAATATAGAGACTGTTAATCAACTAATGTACAGAAAAACAAGGGTTACTCCTATAGCACAACAGAGTCAGACCAAAACTATAATTAAAAGGTCACAAGTGTTTGGAAGAAATATAACCGATCAAAATCCACATTTAATAGACGTCATTAATTTTGTTTTGGGATTAGACAAACAATAAATTTGTTCAATGCGCTGTTGCATGTAACTCTATATATGTCGGTAACATTTTTCAATCAACTAGAAACGCTAGAATTTAATTTCAACAAACAAAGATGAGCTATGCTGCGAAAAACAACCTCATGATATCCTTGCTGTTGCTGCCATTTTACTTTGTTCCAACAGAAAATGGATACGTTTTTCCATTATCTCCATTTAAAGTTGTTATCCGCAGTGGCTTTGATCCAAAGGGACCAACCTCTCTCAGCTTAAAATGTTATTCTGATGCAGATGGTCTTGAATTTCGAGTTCTTAAATCCGGAGAAGAGTTTTCATGGAAGTTTAGGATGGATTTCTTCTTTGGTACCATATTTCGTTGTAACTTTGGCTATAATAATCATTGGCAAAAAGGATTTGTAGTTTTTGACAGCAATATAGCCGAGTACCCTTGGACAGAAATTAAGGGTACTTATGTTTGCTTTTGGTACGTGAAAGAGGGTGGATTCTACATGGGCTATGAGTATCCGAGCGTTGCGCCACAAACCCTAAATTGGAAGGGCTCTGCAAGTTGGACACCTAATGAAACCAAAGTAGCAGCAGAAGAAAGGTTCACCATTGCTGGTGCTTCTCAGTTATCCCCAGCCTCCACACCCCCATGATCAATTTGCCTGAAGAATAAATTAAGCAAAGAGAAAGGAGTATCATCAATAAAGAAAATGCTACATATGGATATGGGATAGGCATGTATTAGAGCAAAGATTAACGTTAGATTGCGTTTGCATCGAAGGATTTGACAAGAATTTGCTTCTAGGTTGTATGGATTACTTGGTAGGTACTTGGATTTGTAATTTACTAATTATTTTAGTGTTTAAATGTATTTAAAATATATTGGTGGATTACAAACTCGAATATATTTTCAAAAGTAATTTAAACAACTTAGGGGAATTTGAGAGGACTTCAAATCATTTTATCAAATCCGTGAATCAAAATACAGTCTTAAAGAGTTGATATTTAGAAGAAGGAACATGAAATTAATATATTGTTCCATTAGATTTT